TTGATCATGCCTGGATTAAGGGGGGGGGGGGGCTAAAGGGGCTAGAGCTACGTAAAGTAGGTGTCTGTAGCGTCGATGCAAAATCAGTAAATAGTAACTTTTCCGATATAGTAGATGGCGCTTGCTTGGCTCAATTTTGTTGACAAAAAAATTTACACGGAGATACCATTCTTGACGGTTTATATAGTATTTATTTTTGCATGACAAGAAATAGCAACATTTAACTGGCTGTTAAAACTGTCAAAAAATGTTCAGTAAAACAGATCATATCCAGTTTTTTAATTATATATAAATGAAGGAAATCGTTTGTGACCTAGTAGACAGAATGGCTAATGTAAAAGTTAACTAAAAGGTTGGACTCGACTAGGATTCAAACCCTAGACCTCTAGATTTGGTAATGACCGAAGGTTTCCGATTGTTTAACTATCACGTTAAACGAAACACTTGACTGGGTAAAAATGTAGAGGATCTAGGTTCAAATCTTAGTCGAGTCTAACCCAAACTCTTCGTTAACTTTAAAGTAGCTACGTATTCTGTCTGTTATGCCACGATATGGATTTTTATCACACTAATGTAGTGAGAAAAGAAGTGGCTTTCAAATCATCAAAACTTTTATTGGAAACAAAAATTTAACGAAAACTAACTAGATAGATCAAATAACTCGTGAACCAGTAACATAAATAAACAAAAATCTAATAAATACCTCATCAAACATATCTAGTAATACAGTTAATAGTGTGAGCTTGAGCGTGAGCTAATTTTGCCAGTGGCTTAGTTAAGAAAAAGTTTGGACCAAACTAGGATTTGAACCTAGGATCTCTACAGGGTGATTCAAAAGTAAGCGGCATCCTTTCGGGGACGTATTCTTTGCATAAAAATAAGACAAAAAGTTCCTATTAACATGGGTCCAGAAATGCTTCCTAAGGGAGCTATGCCCCTTCGAATAGGACACCTGAAAGACATGTTTTTATATATAACTTTGAAACCCTTCACAAATGGATTTTTAAAATTGGTGTATTTTATAAACATTTGATGGCAATCAAGATACCAAATTGAAAATTCGAAAATCTTAATCAGTGTCACATACTGGGAGGGTGAAAACATCCCTATTTTTTTTACTCATCAGGTTTTTGCGAAACATACGCAAATCAGAAAATTTTCAAAGTCAATTTTCTCGTAAACGGTACGCTGTATCGAATTGAACCAAGAGTAGGCTTTTCTGTGTAAAAAACTATAAACTTTCTGAATTTTCAATCAGAATCGCAAAAACCTGACGAGTAAAAAAAATAAGGATGTTTTAACCCTCGCCCTCCCCAGTATGTGACGCCACTGATTAAGATTTTTGAAATTTCAACTTAGTATCTTAATTGCCATCAAATGTTTATAAAATACACCAATTTTCAAAATCCATTTGTGAAGGGTTTCAAAGTTATAGAAAAAATACGTCTTTCAGGTGTCCTATTCAAAGGGGCGTAGCTCCCTTAGGAAGCATTTCCGGACCTATGTTAATAGCAACTTTTTGTCTTATTTTTGTGCAAGGAATACGCCCCCGAAAGGATGCCGCTTACTTTTGAATTACCCTCTATATAGATTACCAGTCTTAAGGTGAGTTTATACATCAGACACATAACATAACATAAGAAATAACTTAATAACTATAACATAACATAAGATAAAAAGTTGACCTTATGGAAACCCCTTATGGGCATGGCGGCAATATAGAAAATAACATAACATAAGAAATAAGTGAAAATTTTGGATTAATTTTCTTCGCTATTCCATCCACAGACGCCTTTCGACCTATCAGGTCTCGTCAGTGTAGCTAGGAAAGCAAAAAAAACCAATCCAAGAAAGAAATAAGAAAAATGGTTAACTTTTAACTTCTTATTTTATGTGAAAACGGTTCTGCGCATGCTCTTCCCTTGATGTCGACATTTGGCAGAGTAGTAAATAAAACATTTAAAACGAAACATTTTCTTCTATTTATGTTTAATTAAAAAACTGAATATGATTTTATTTTACTAAAAATCTTCAATAAAGAATCCTACACACCAGTCCGGTACCGCGGGAGGGGCAGCGTCGCGGGATTAAATCATGTGGTGGGACATGTAAGCGAAATAACGCTTTATGATGAAATGTATCATATTCTACCACATTTTCTAATCCCGTATCGCTGCCCGCCCTTGCTCTTGTGTCTGGGATCCCTAAATCCGAAGAACAACTTAGCTTAACACTCCAAAAATATAGTTTTTTCGTTTTTTGACAGTTTTAATTATTAAAACTATAAAGTGTTATATATCGTTACAATCACAAAACAACATTCAATTTGACGATGTAAAAATATATAGGGTGCCTTATTAAAAAAAGTTAAAATTTGGACCATATCTCAGAAAATAATACTGCTAAAAAAAATCTGAGTACACCACTGGATTCTTCGTAAAAAATCACACGAAAACGTAATTTAACATTTTTTAAAATTTTTGATAATAAGTAAGATACAGAGAAAAACAGAAATCAGCTCTTTTCCAAAAAACCCCTGTATATCGAAAACAAAAGAAGTCCGAAAAATTTTGAGTGGTCCATTGAACTATACTCAGAAAAATAGATCGCGATACGTATATTAGATTTTTTGTATTTATTACCGGTTAGGCTGTACCCGGCATTCCCACCCAAAATGACTCACCCTGTACAGGGTGGCCCAAATTCGAGCCTCATCATTGGGATCTCGGTAACCGTAAGAGATACGGGGTCGGTTAAATTATGGCAAAGTTGCGCAATTTTATGACCAATAGAATGCCGTTTTGAAACTAGAAAGATTCCGAATACTTCCGGAGATATTCGAAAAAAAACGAAATTTTGTAAAATCGTATTTATTTTTCTCCTGGGCTTATTTGAAAAGCAATTTTAAAATAAATGTCACTTCATCATTGTCACTTTTTCCTCTTTAGAAGATGGAGCTACTTAATTTAAAATTCGACGTTTCGTCATCATGCGGCCATCCTCAACTTCCTTTTTTTAAATACGGACCTGGATTTTTTATTTGCGATTTTGTCATCTTTGAGTATCCTTAAACAGATACTCTTTTTAATTTTTCAATAACACGGGTAAAAAAGCAGGTCCGTATTTAAAAAAAATAAATTGATGATGATTCCAGAGGAACAAATCGTTGGATTTCAAGAAGACGAAATTTAGAGTAGCACCATCTTCTAAAGGGGAAAAAGTGACAACGATGAAGTGACATTTATTTTAAAATTGCTCTTCAAATAAGCTCAGGAAAAAATAAAAACTATTTTACAAAATATCGGTTTTTTCCGAATATCTCCGGAAGTATTCGGAATCTTTCTCGTTTCAAAACTGCACTCTATTGGTTATAAAATTGCGTAACTTTGCCATAATTTAACCGACCCCGTATCTCTTACGTTTACCGAGATGCCAATGATGAGGCTGGAATTTGGGCCACCCTGTACATGTTGACTACGTCAGTAAAAAAATCAGGAAATTGGTTTATAAATTTTCACAACTTAGATATTGCTTAACTTCTCAATTAACAAAAATGGTCTATTATTGTTTGGTTGAGTCTGTTTTGAATTATGATATTTTGTGTTGGGGCTCAGCTTGCGAATCAGTCCTGTTACTATTGAAGATAGCACAAAAGTATGCACTTAAAATATTATTATTTAAACCTAAGATGTATTCCACTGATCTACTGTTTTCTCAGACCGAATTCTTTAACTTGAGGCAACTTTATTGCGTTAGAGTCGTACAGTTTTCTCTAAATTATAAATTGTTCCAAGATATAGTTAATCACTCGATACAAACTAGGGCTGAGACCGAAATAAAACTTTATACCTCTCTACAGAACTATTCGACCACTCAGAGAAATATTTTATTCACGCGGGACCCAGATTATTGAACTTGCTACCACTCGATATTGAAAATAAACAAAACTTAACAAAAACATCAGAAAATTAAATAAGAGACTGGGTAAAAATCTTAGTAAAAATAAACTACACACTCATAAAAAAATCAATGGTTCTCTGATAGAAAGTAAATAGTAAATGGATACAATTGTTATTGCAAATATTTTGTTTCATTTGTAAGCTTCTTATTTATATTAGAAATGTAGGTAAATAAGGATTTATTATAATAATTATTTTATATTAGAATGAATGTCAGCTAGGAATACCTACACACAAATTCTTGAATTCATCGTATTCCTAGCTCTGCATTCTACAAATTGTCAACCGATGTAATGATACTTAGTATGAATAAACCTAAACCTAAACCTAATCTCATTACTCCACTATTTAAGAGCCAATCAGAAAATTCGGCAAGTTGACAACATACTTTAACCTTCAAATCGGTCATTTTGCCAGCTGATTTGGACAAGACTTGTGCTTACCTAACCTTACTTTGTCCTCCACTCCAGCTATCAGGAAGGTCAATTGATTTTGTTACGAAAATTAAATGAAAAACCGCATAACTCGTGTCATTTATCTATTAATCGTAGAAAAAGTATAGTATCTTTGGTAATGGTTATTACTCAGTCACTCACTCGCAATTTTGCATTTGCTCGGCTGCGCTGCGTAAAAAAATTATGCACTTTTAATCCTTATAATATAGGTAATATACTATAACCGTGTCGTCTGTCACTTGTGATTGAAAAATTCTTTACAAAAAGTTAGACATCATTATTTTTTCTACCGAGCGTGCGCAAAGCGGCTGCTACTCTACTTTGCGCATGGAAATGACGTTAAAATTAGATTATTTAGTTAAAAGGTCATCGTTTTCCAAGTTGTAAAGGCTAAGTAGAAAAAATATTGCTATACGTGCACAAAGTATCTCTGCCTCACTTGAAGCTCATTCTCTGCTAACTGCTGTTCTATGCGGGAATGGGGAATATATCACTTTGCGCACTTGTTGGAAACATAACTACATATTGTCAGACCAAAAAGTTCCTATCTATTCTTGTATAGATGATATTATTCGTGATTATTTACCTTCGGAACTAAGCATCTTGAAATCGTACTCGGGCATTTTACGTGGTGAAACAGGTTGCAGCCAATGCAAAAGACTGGAAACAGGTCGTTCTTTGTAAGTACCCCTGTCGGAGGCTCTGTGTTTGTAGAACAAGACGTCATAATCGCTCAACCTATGCAATTCTTTTTTGAAAAATCTGTAATTTTTTCATTTCAATTTCGATAAAGCCAGCAGCAGAGACAATTACCGTCCATGTGCATGATAAATCGGAGAAATAATCAAACTTTCGATAACACCATAAGAACCACTTTTGTAGCAGTGTAACGGCACCCAGATACTGATATCATACTGGGCATCAATATAATCGATATCAAATTCTTCTGAAACAACTGCAGTGCCAATTATTTGTCCTTCGCAAAGAAACACAAAACACTGATAAGGACTTTTCTCAAATTCCATGGAAATCTCAAAGTGCGACAGTACTATTGCGCGTGTTGGAATGGTGCTTAATAAATTGTAGACTTCCGTTAGGTGTTCTTTTGATGCAACCTAAAGTTTATAGATTATTTTAGTCAACAGTTTCTTACTTGAATACTTACTTTGCATTCTAAGCAACCTAAAAGTGAACTTTTGTGGCAAATGTAAAGGCTATTGGGAAATCTGCTACCTGGCCGAGGAGTCGCTCTAAATTGTATGCGAAGAAACATATGAATATAAAATGTAGGTATATGAAAAAATATGCTTATTATTGAAAGTTTTACCTGCAAAAACTGGAATTTATCCAATGCTCCATTGGAGTTTCGGTTGGTGTACTCAAAACGCAATACTCCCGATCGGGAAAGCATTCAAAAACTGATTCCAATACCTTCAAAAAAATATCTTTAAAAATATTCCTATTTTTAGTACTTGTTCAATATTACATAATGTATACTGCTTGTATGGTCAGGATGCGTTGCCGCTACTTCTATGGCAAAAGCGTTGCCTTTTCCGGCATAGCTAGGTAGTTTTAATGTTCTACTTTTTGCGGAAACTATAAAACAATATATTATTTGTTTTTTGAAGCAATTTAAGCTTGTTTCACACTTTACAATGCAATGCAAATGCTCTCAAATGTCTCAAAATAAATAAGTATCTGATGGAGAAAAAAATTTTGATGTAAAATTTTCAATATTTAATTCTTCAGAAAATCTTTTATTTTTAAAATCCAGGTTATCCAAATGGTACGATTGTTAAAAATGCATTTTAATTTATTTGAACTTTCAAGTAATAAAAGTTACCTATGCTCCTTGAAAACTTGTCCATCAACTCAGCGTAAGTCAATCTTGGATCGATGTCATGAGACCTGACGTGTTCCATTTCCTTTAAAATTTCATAGCTGCTTGTTGAATCATTAGTTCCTTCTTCTCCTCTATACATTCAAGAATAAATATGTTTTATTTACAACCATACAAGTCATTACTTTTCCCGATATTTTTAGAAGTTGGAAAAGTGGCGATTTCTACCAGAGAAAATGATCACCTCAGTGGCGGTTCGTCCATATGGGCAAGGTGGGCACCGCCACCCTGGATAAAAAATAGAAAAATAAAAAATACTTTTAATACAATATTTGGAAAGGCCGAGACCTTGAAATTCTGAAAAAAATCGCTTACGGCTGTTTTTTTATTTTTGTCGCTCACCCTTACTTGGAGACCAAGAGCCGCCACTGGGTTACCTTAAAACTTAGTTTTTTTTTTTTTTAATTTTTCATTTTTGGAGCATACCGAATTTTGTAATGTCTATGTTTTTTTTGAGCTGAAGATCTTTCAGTTTTCATGATTTTAGTCATCAAAACAATCTCGAATTCCTTATTTTTTTTACTTTTGGAACTTTGTAGAAATCATCTCTTACATAACCATTTCAGGTGGCTCCCTTAGCGGTTCCTCTTCTTCATCATCGAAAGCGAACAAATCTGAGGTAGTTAACACAATTGAATAATCAGAATCACTATCAGTTACATCTATAAAATATTCTTCTTCATCTTCAAAGCTTGCCGAAAAAAATTTGACGCTTTTGTCTTCGAGATTTATGTCACCAATACTGAAAATTTACCCTGTTTTCACTACATAGATAGTATCTTTGAGGCCTTTCTTTGTTGTAATTGCGGTAGGATTCGGGAAAAAAAAAAAACAACGAATTTTTTTTAATTATCGATGTTTCTCAAATTTTATTTTCATCCTCACTCCTTCTTCCTAAGATAAACGTCAAAAAAATATATATAAATGAATAAACAAGTGGACATAAATAACTGCCTAGTACCTACTACTCAAAATCAACTTTAACTGTCATTATCAAAAAAGTATCACAGACTTATTATAGGTATAGTATTTCTAAAGTCAGTTGAAACAAGGTAAAGATAAATCACAACTAGTGATTGAATACTTTCATAAGAAATGCACTGCCACTAGTCAGCCACCAGTTGCAATTTATATTCACCTTGTTTCAATTGACTTTACAAAGACTATACCCTTTGAGGGTTTTTTTTATATCTTAGGCACATCTCCATAATATACAGTTTTATACGAATTCAAAAAAACACAAGCCGTAAACTACACTGATATGTTGCGGCGATGAGACAAAACAAAAAACATTGTAGTTTCCTGACTCCAGGACCCTTATTCTTGAAACAGAGGAGCAGCGTTCCCCATGAGAACGAGTGTTCCTTCTTTGTTACCTATATCATTATTTTGCATATCATTAAGAAAGACGGAACACTCGATCTCCTGAGAACGCTGCTCCCCTGTTTCAAGAATAAGGACCCTGATGATGCAATTAAATATTGCGACATTGACAATTTAAAAAAATACCCACCTTCTGTTGATGTTTTTTTTTCTCGATTCCACCATTCTTACCCCAATCAAAACAAAGAAAAAGCATCCAAGAAGTAGAAATGTTTCAAATATTTACTCTGTGGCAGATTGAATAAGATCTGGTTGGCTGCTTTGCAAAATCTCAACATCATCCTGTTCGCTTCGTTTGCGTAAACCATTAAAAGGCGTTAATTCGAATTCTTGATTTAATAATTCATAGATTACTGTTTCGTTCAAAATTATTACTGAAACTGCGCAACCATTATGCTCTGCCACTATAATGTGTCTTCCTAAAAAAGTGATAAAACATTGATTTTTCATGATATTACAAAGAATTGACGTGAAGCGAGTGAGATTAAAAACTTTTAGGGTAAATATTTATTTTTATGATGCCGTAATCTATATACAGGGTGTCCCACGAGGTTCCTACCAAATGATCATTTCGGAACGCGTCATCATCGTATGTTCCCCTGTATAATTTTCTGTCATATCCTTTAACAAAGCCTTAACAAATATGGCATAGCTGATTTCGTAATTTAATTTTCTAACGAAAAATACCATAATATACCATGAGTTACATTTAAGATTCGAAAGTTGACGTCACTCGACCGAAATTGAAGCAAAAATGGTAAAATTGGATTACAATGGTAGAAGGGGCACAGAAAGTTACCCAGATCCTCAAAACTTCAATTATATTGGATGACGCGTTCCGAAGTTATCACCTGGGAGAAACGTCGTGAGACACCCTATATATAAAAATTAATGCCACTTTTCGTTGTAATTTTTTAACTCAAGAACGGGCACACCTAGCCAAACCAAATGTTTAGGCTTTGTTCGGACTATTTATTAGATGGTTTATGTGAAGTTTGCACAAAATCGGTCGAGCGGTTCTTCATTTATTACATTTTTTGTAATAAATGAATTATTCAATAAATGGAGGATCATTTTGTTATCATTATTATCTATACCGGGTGTTTTTCAAAACCCGCTCACCCCTATAACTTTTTTATTTTTCAAATGAAATTTGGTGACCCGGATGTGAATTATTTGACGTATTCAATTATTTATTATCACTTCCACAGTTGTGTTGGTTCTAGCACTTATAACTCGAGAACAGCTGGACTGATTTTTATGATTTTTGCTTTATTGGATTTGTCTTTGTCCATATTAACATAATAAATCGAGAATATCCAAAAAAAAAGACAACAAAAAAATTACCTATTTTACTTATTTATGAAAAAAATTCACTAAGCCCGCATACGGCGCCATCTCCTATAACCGATATCAAGTTTACCGCCACATTTTCATTGCAAACCATTTTGTGTACGGCGCTATCTCTGATACCTAGAACGAAGCTCGCCGTTGCGCGGTAATTTCATTGCAGATACTGTAGAACAATGCTACTCAGGAACTGGAGCTATTCCGAACAGAACTATTCCACTATTCCGATCAGATAGAGTGGTGCAGAAAGAGTAGATCAGATAGAATAGTGCAGATAGAGTAGAACAGATGGAGTAGTGCAGTGCAGATAGAGTGGAACAGGGCTGCGCTGGAGATTTTTTTGTTTTCTTTATATTCTTTGAACATTCCTGTGCCTGAGTCTATTTATTTGATGGTACACTTTACAAAAATAATGCCCACAAGCTGCCTAAAAAGGGATGATGTAAAATTTTAATTTTAGGTGACTTCTGATCCAGAGAGTTAACATTAATTTTTTTCAACCAAAGTCAAATTCACCATCGAAAAAAACTGAATTTAATTCAGCTAATAGATACATTCACGTTCACACAACATTTAATAGGTATTTAAGGGAATTCAGAGGCGGTACGGAGTTCGCCGGGTCAGCTAGTAAATTCATATAAATAGTGGGCCAAGCCGAGTAACAGTCAGACTTGAACCAGTGTTAGTACCGCCACCCTGGGAACACCCCTCTGGAGTCAAGTCTTCCCAATGCAAGTACCGCCACTCTGGGAAAGCTCCGCTGGGAAACTGCATCGTCATCTAGTGCAAGTACCGCCACCCTGGGAAAGCCCCTCTAGATGAGGATCAGTTAAACATCGATTAGCATTCAACGTAACATTAGTAACAGTAAATCGACATTCCTTCTTCTCCTTATGAGTTTATCATAGCGTTAGTGCGAAGCACTCTTACGCTGTAATGGATGAGTCTAAATGCTACTTATGTTGAGTTTAAAGGTAACTTGTTTTTCAGGGTGTGGGAGGGGGGATACAAGTTCTTTTGAAGCTTTGCTAGCTGCAACGATCTTTGCTTCGGTTGTAGAAATGACAACTGAAGGTATGTCTCTGACTCATCCAGAATATAGCACCTCCAGCATAAACACATACCACTCCTATTGTGGAGCGTCCTGTTTTTATATCCCCTTCATGATCAGCATCACTAAAACCTTGTAGGTGACCTCTTCTGTTTCTTGGCCTGTAAGTGATACCATAATTGAGTGTTCCTTGAATGTAACGGAAAATTCTCTTTACTTGGACTAAGTCTTTGTGAGTTGGATTTTCCAAACTTCCTGACGCCACACTGACTGCGTATGAAATGTCTAGTCTTGATCCTGAATTCAGGTAAAGTAATGCTCCAACAGCCTCTCTATATGAAAAATTTGATATTTCGGCTTCTTCTGAAGGAGAATTATCCGGGTCTGCAATTGTTCATGCCAAATTTTTTCAACAATTTCTTGGCATATATATTTTGAATTATGATAACTGATCCATTCCTTGCCTTCATGATTTCCATACCCAAAAAATATGATGCAGGCTTTATCGTGACTTTAAACTCTATCTGTAGTTGTCGAGAAAACATTACTTCTTCAAAAACAAGATAAAGACTGTTTTTAGAACCAATAACAAATCAGATTTACTCATGCTTGACCGAAAGTATACAATTGGACAAACAGGGAGATCTTTCCAAACAAGAAATGAAAAACAACAATAGCTCCATAAAACACTCTTTCACGTTCTTAACTCAGAAATTCATGACTTTTCCTCAGATTTTAAAATTTTGCACGAAAAAAATTAATCCAAAAAATTAAATCATCTTGAGAGTATGGAAATAAATGAAAAAAAAAAGTCTGGTATATTGTTGAATGAACAATAATTGAATCATCATCAATCAGTGTGGTTGCGTCTATTGCTGCGCCTTCCATTGTAATCCGTCCTCGAGCCTGTACTGCACTAATTTGGCTTTCGTTATTCTTTTAATGTCGTCGGTCCATCATTTTGGTGGGTAACCTCTGTTTCGGAAGGCCTTTTGTCGCGCTCCTAGAATCAAAGTTGTCCATCGTCCGTCTGCCATTCTCGCTACGTCTCCAGCCCAGTTCCACTGTAACTTTGTTATGCGTTCAATAGCATCTGTTACTCCAGACATTTGGCGAAATCTAAAAGAGACTCTATCCCTTAGCGACGCCCACTCCATGGTTCTCTGTGGAACGCGAATTTTAATTACAACCTATTTTGTTAGTGTCAATGTTTCTGCTCCGTAGGTTAACACAGGTCACAGGAAGAACACCCTGGTTTCGCTTCAAATAGGTAGGAATGTTGAATTTTAGAGTGTTGCTCAATTTTCAACGGCTGCCCAACTCAAGCCGACTCTTGGCGTTATCTCTCGGGTTTGGTTATCCTTGTCTATAAGAATCTTATGTCCCAGACACTGAAAAAAAATCGTTCATAATATTGACGAATGGCGGTTGTTATTTTTTTGTCCTTAATTAAATGAAATATTTCATCAATCCAATTGAACAGTGTTCATAGCCTAATTACTTCGTTCCTTAATGTAACGAATTTATATTCATTGATATCGTAAAACCCATACATTTTTAAGCAAAAGAAGGTTTTGTATATCGTGCAAATTTTATTAAGAAAAATCAGTGCAGAGCGCTTTCGGCCTTAGGCCATCATCAGTGCCAACCTGAAAAGCAAGGAAAATCCAACATCAGCAAATGAAAATGGGGAATGTAGCCCTTGAAATTATAAAACTTGGGTTTTACTCACTTCGTCAGGTGTATATAAAAGAACTTGGTTTAAAAACAACGGTGCACATGGTTACATAAGGTCACAAACTAATCAATAACATGGATTGACTGAACAATTTAAAATTTATCAAATAACCGAACTAAAATATTCGAGGGATGAACTTTATTTTTATAACTTTCTCAAGGAGGAATCCATCCTTTCAATTTTCCCTTTTGGAAATTAATAAATTCAACTCAAAAAGCAAACGTGTCTAGATGTTAGGTTAGAATTCTTTAGTATACAACAGGTGTGACAATTGACAGTTTGTCCAAAAATACAAAACGCGGGCAATTTTTAAAAAAATTTAAAAAAATTTTTCAAACCCAAACCAGGAAAATTCAAACACTTTGTCTTTGATGCTAAGGAGCTAGACTCCTCAGTGGAGTGTCCTATAATATCATCATAAAGTGACGTTTAGTTTAAAAGGCGTTTGTGCAGAGGGATGTAATTTTTGTTCAGATTGACTTGTGTATTAAGGCAACGGTTGTTGTCTGCCAACTCTTTTTGTATCTCGATGTCCTCCATAAAGTCAAGATGATTGAAATTTTTTGAATTTATATTATGAATAATCTTCGAATTAGACTTGGGGCTAAACACATGCTTTGATGCTTTGAGGTGTTCACCGAAAGCTGAGGTTGTTCTTTTTAAATGATCGTTGATCCTAGTGCCTAAAGGTCTACAAGTTCTACCAATGTAGGTGCTGGAGCAGGAGTTACAACTCAATTTATAAATGCCACTCTTGGAAAGTTGGTCAATTTTGTTTTTAGAATTAACTAAAAGTGATGCAAGACTGTTCTATGTTTTATATGAGATTTTTAAGTGCTCGATATTTTGGCGAAGGACAAGTGAAATTTTGGAATTAGTTTCAGAATCAAGAAATGGTAATGCCACATATTTACTGACTGTTGGAGGAGGAACTTGGTAAACTTTTCTCTGGATCTTCTTTGTTTTAGTTTTAGTGTCAATTAACTTAGGTTCGAATTGGTTATTGTAAGCAATCTGTTTAAGAATCTTAACTTCGTTATTGTAGTCCTCTTTAGATAGAGGGATGTTTAAAAGTCTGTGGATATAACAATGAAAAGAGGCTAGTTTTTTTTTTTAGCCCTTGAAATTTAGTTTTATAATTTCAAGGGTTACATTCCCCATTTTCATTTGCTGATGTTGGATTTTCCTTGCTTTTCAGGTTGGCACTGATGATGGCCTAAGGCCGAAAGCGCTCATGCACTGATTTTTCTTAATAAAATTTGCACGATATACAAAACCTT